AGTTTTCGCTAAGTTATTTATCTTCCTGGAGTCTATAATACTACATATGGCTAAATTGCGATGTTCCCACAACCTGACTAGCCCCGATCTACTGGTATGACCTATACCAGTTGACCTCGCAGTTATTGCTACCTATTTTATAGATTAAATTATTTTGTCTAATTGGGTCAGCAGAGTCCTTTAGCCTACAGAGTTTGTTTCTGAGTGAGTTTGTAGCTTTAAATGTCACCCTAATTCCTGCTTTATTAAGAATCCTTAGTACGGTTGCAGAAGTCCCTTCCCCATATGGTATAACTGGAGATGTCTTAAATTCCTTCTTGTTTGTATTATAGTTAATATTTTCACTTCGATTATTACTTTTATTATGAGCTTACTTACACTTCCTAACGAACTTTATGGGATAGTGATTCAGCACCACTACCCCTTCTATGCCTCATTGCATTATCTAACTTTTCTGATTTACTACTTAGAGATTTTACTCAGTTTTTTAGTCACCTAACTAAACATGCCTTTATAGTTAACGGGTTACGTGATTATAAATAGATAACTAAATATCAATTAGAGGGCGTTGATTTTTTTTATAAACACTGATGCCTAATTTTTCTTCTGTTCGTCTTATTTTAAAATCTAACATTACTAATCCCCCTGCTCATATCTCTAGTTTCTTCACACGTATAGACTCAGTAGTAGACGGAATTACCATTTGAGTTAGAAGGAGAATTAACTAAATCATATTAGAATAAGGCATTTAGGAGACAAATTTCGCGAAATGTTTTCATCATTTCGTAATTTCTCTACAATCGCTTTACAACTGACTTGGTTCACAATAATAAAATAAAATATATGGCAATTACTCAGTTTTATATAACAAAAGTACATACTAATGAACAAACATATTTAAATAGGTCAAGTAGTCCATGGTAGGCGAAGGTTGAAGTCTATTGTTTTCTGTACACATAGTTTAGGATGCGTGTGATTAATCCCAAAAGTGCTTCCATCACCTTCAATAACCTTGAATTAGAGTTATGTGAAATAATTGTGAAGCAGTCATTATTATTGATTTTGTGACCTGACATTAATAAGTGCTTTGCAATGGATAACGATGGATTTCTATTCAGATTAATTGCATTGGAATTTTCTATGTTTTAATAACCATTTTGGAACATGTTCTTTTCGACGACATTGGAACATTCTATTGGTTCTACCTATAAAGGTGTCACCGCGACTGCAGGTGAACTTGTAGATACAGTTTGAAGTAGAGTCCACAGAATTTCGTCCTTTAATCGTAGGTACATGGATAGAAAATGTTCGAGATGTGAGAAAAAGAGATGCGGTGTAGAATGTGCTCTTGATGGCTGACCGAAGTCTTTGAGCTGTCAACTGCATAATTTGATCACCCTTGAACGGTAGGTTAATAAAGATAGCTTTCTTTGGAACAGAAGCTCTCTTTTCAAGATGTGATCTATCATTACTGTGACAATTGATAAAGTTTTCTGGATAACCATTAGTTAATAAAACTGAATATATATGTCGAAGCTCATCCATTAATGTGTCACTTGTGCAGGCGGGCCCTTGGAAACAAACAGTTCACTAGGGAACGTTCATACTGGATAGGAACAAAGCTGGTGAAATGAAGATATTGTCCACTCCATGTCTGCTTAAGAAATACAGATCGCTTAATCGTTCCATCGTCTCTCCTAGTCATTGAAATATCCAAGAAACCGAGTTTGTTATTCGATTCGAATTCGGAAGTCACTCGCATATTTGAGTAGGATTAAACAGAGTAACAAAGTTTTCAATAGACTTACTATTATTACCAGTAATGAGTGCATAGTCCACATAACGTTTATACAGCACAAATTTTCCTACATACCTTGCATTCGTTTCTCCAGTTTAGACACGAATATATCTGCTAACAAGGGCCCAAGAGAGCGCCCCACCGCAACATCACCGATTTGTTTGTATGCCTTTCCTTGGAAAGTCAATCTGATATTTTCTTTACATGTTAAGGTAATGTCTCTAATGTAAGCGACAAGAATAGGTAATTGTTTCCCATTGCTTGTGATGCAATCGCAAATGAAATCAACAGTTTCATGTAGTGGAACATTGGTGAATAAAGATTCTATGTCGATTGAGCACATAATGTTCAAAGTGTCTAGCATATTGGTCAGATAAAATGAACTTTTTACAGAATGATTTGATAAGGAGTCTCTTGCTGGCGTAAAGACCTCTGTAATCCATTTTGCGATTTTATGATATGGAGAATTCGACATATCTAAGATGGGTCTCAGCGGGTCCCCAGGTTTGTGAGTCTTTGGAAGGCCATACAGCCAGGGAGTACGTGATCCAATAGCTGTTTATGAAGTTTTTAATTCACGGAAAACTTTTCATTTATAAAATCATACATCTGAAGCTGACGATTAATCTGCTTTCCCACAAGCAGCACTATTATCCATCAGAAATTTGGACTGATCTTTGAGGATTTCATTAATTTTATTTTGATAATCTGATTTATTCCTAACGATAACACCTTCTCCTTTGTGAGGTTTAAGGATAATAAGATTATCTTCTCGATTTAATTCCTTAAGTGAGGCGTGTTCTTTTGATAAACCATTTTTCTGATGTATTCTGGCATTTAGAAACTGGTAAGAAATGTCCACCAGTTTAACTTTAAACCAGTCCATGTTATCTTTACTAGAGGGGGTTAAATCAGAGATTTGTGCATACAGGTTTCCATATTGTGATTGGACTCCCATTTTGTTTATTTTCGGAGGGATAGTTTTGTATTTCAATCCGTACGATAATGCTTTCAACTGTAGTTGGGATAAAGTGCAAGAAGATAAATTAATTTTGTGCTTGTGCACATCTTGAGGAAATTCCAAAGTGTGATTCGTGTCTTTCAAAGATTTGTTTATTGAATATACCACACAATGAAATAGTATTATTTACTGGATAACATTTCGAGAGCAGTTTATTGTTTATAATCATTTCAATGAATTGTGCTCGGAATGTCATCAGTAAATAATACTATTTCATTATGTGATTTTGTCAAACGAAATGATGCTATTGTAAAGAAGAAAAGACCGGTGAAGCTCGAGGGTAATGTTTATTCCGACAGACGCATTGTAGGTACTTCAATTTGGTATGCCTAATGTCTGAGTCTCTATTTGCTCATTATTTGCAAACTGGTCGAATATCACCACATTCCATTGCTTGTTGGATTCTGTACAGTGTTGTAACGTTCTTGTCACAGTTCTCTTCTTCGATTGGTTTTTCCAATGCCCCAAAACATATTGTTACTTTTCTGAATTCGTTTAGCGATATACTACTTATACCTGTTATAAGTAGCACTCATCCCACTATGATAGAAGTACAGGAGATCATGTTCTCCCTATTTTTGCTCAGAAAAGAACTTTCAGGGATAGAAATACAGAAGACTAGTTTAATTTTTCATCCTTTACAACAGCCTAAGTTGTAGACAGTGCATTCACAGAAATAAGATTTCAAAAAATTCTATAGCTCCAATTCAAAGCTGTTCAGTAACCTAGTGGTTTATGCATGCATACATACAAATGTCATAGGTTATTGTCAGTTAGTAACAAAATAAGTCAAAGTGTATTCGAAAAAAATTTATAACACTAATGTATAGTGTAATTTGACAGTGAGTTGAATATCAGTCACTGATAATATCATATCTAATTTCTTCGGTAGATAACTATCTCTCATTCGCATTAACCCCGGGAGCAGCTACATTGGAAGAACAGAAAAGAGGGCCTACGTCAGATTCTTCGAACATGCACCAAGGCGCTTCCGATTAAAGGGGCTCTTCAATTACCAAACACCTGATAGATACGGGACACCGAGTAGACGCACTGGGATCATCCGAAATAAGTCTTATTCAGTTTGCTGAGGCTATCACAATAAAACAGCTGAAATCTGACTTATGTGCATAAAGAGAATCTGTCGCTGAACTTCAATTACCCTGGTGACTCATCCCTTTAGTAACTCTTTGTTTTATAATTCCATTAACTTGTCATTTCACTACACACCACTTTTCTTCCATTTAACTTCTACAAGAGATAATTTTTCACGACTTTCTGAGTTCTACTCACCGTACTATATGATCATCTTTTCATTTTACCTCTTGCACATCAAGTTTTGATCTTCTCTTATCTAACTACGTAATAGTTACTAGTTTTTGTTACCACCCTAAAAAATATTGGTCAATTAATTTTTCTAGAATCTTCTCTCAGATATATTATCATCTTGATGTTTTATCTCACTATGACTTTCTTACAATATGCCTGTTGATAGAAAGAAGTATACTAAAATTGTACACTAACTTATTTTATTAAAGATTATAGGTTGCACGCAGCTGATGAGAACACCAACGAAATAAAATGGATCTATGTTATTCTGCACCAGTGTTTGTTCTTTCTTTGCTCAAATTTATTCTTCTCTATCGAATAAATGGAATTTCCTATCTAAGCAATTTATTCCAATTCTAAGAAGACATTGCGAAATGGTCGCGCTATGTCGTAAATTGGCAAAAGTTAGAATTCAAGGACCATTGGATCGGGTCCCAGTGGCTCAACGGTCTACGAGCTCGCCTTGTAACCAGAAGGTCCTGGGTTCGAATCCCGGTGGGCGCGTACTGATGAAGAGTCCCAAAACTAGGACGAAACAGCTGTCCAGTACTCCCAGGTTTTCCAGTGGTTCTCTAACTGATTTCAGCTCATGATGAAATCCTCCATGCAATTAAACAAAAGCCCTACCAAACCAATACTTAAAAAGGGAATTTCGCAGAACAAAAGAGGTCAAACTCTAACCGACTTCTAAAATTCTAGAATGTCTATGAGTTAAATAACAGTTTTTTTACTAAATAGCATAGTGAATAAGCGTTCACTCATCAATAAAATACACTTTGACTGTTGAATACCTATCACATCGAACCAAACTGCTTCAAAACTTTCACAATATTAATTTGAAAAAGACAAGAATCCATGAATCAATCTTTATAAAATAAGATCTAATAATTATTATACAGATAGATAGATGAACAATAGTGAAAATGAATCTTGACAAGAAGTGCTATGTACAAACAAACAAACATACAAACAGAAACATACACTTCGAAATGCACAAGAATTTCACAGTCAATTTCTGTGCTTCAGTGACGAAACAGCTGGCGTACACCAAGGTATAGTAAACCTGTTTAAGGAAGTAAAAAGAACAACATATTACTTACAGTTTTAATGTATTCTGTTAAAGTATAAAACTAATAGATATTGACAATAAAAGTAAAGTAGATTAGAGCACTAACAATATCTCTCATCATGATAGTTATGAATGATGAGAGCTTTTAAATCAATGAAAAAGTGGATCTCTGTGTATACTGAGAAGGTGAGCAAAGGTTCGCACATAAACATGAATTCTTTGATCGGATATACTGGGTAGGAACTAATTTCATGCGTGTAGTCCTTCGTGTTGGTGCAGACTTCATTCTATCAACTAAGTTTGCAATATGGCCATCATACTAGGTGGCTCGTTACCATGGAAACAGGAAGCTTCCAACCACCTAATAACAAACACATGGGTTTCAGTAACTTTTCACCTATAAAGAAAACAACATGTAATACAGAAAAGTAATGGAAACATTTCTTCTCAAATATCTTTTCCACTTCTTTCATACAGACATACATTGTGGGAAGTGCGTTCTAAGGAGACAATAGAGATAATGTTCACAGTTGTTTTTTGAGTCCTAAGTATTTTGTATTGTAATACAACTTGAAATACAAGAACATAATCGTAAATCATATTAGATATACGAGCTATATGTGTATTGAGAGTAGAAATCAAATGGAGTAAACTCTCTGTATATGTAATGCGAAGAAAAGATTTTCACAGATTTAATGACTTAAAATTTGATAGAAAGTTCGACGTAACTGACAACACCATTTTATGTGATCGATAATATGAAGAAAAAGGAATACTTCTAAAGAAATTAAGCCAAATGAAGCGAAGGTAATAATAATTACCACTAATATATAACATAGGTACACTACACATTATGATATTGGGATAGGAAGGCTTTAAGCACCAGTAAGTACCAGTGGAGTGCGACCACACTAATGACCTTGAAACATTCAGTGAGCAAGTTAGTGAAACCTCGTAAATAATATTGTAATCATGGATAAAATATGCTTAACATAGCGTTATGCTATTAAACTGGATATCTGGAAAGTTTCAGGATAGGTTTGGGGAATATTAAGTTAAGATTCAGGCTAAGGACAGGTTAGTGTTAGATTAACCTAACGAGGGCAGCAAAGTTAAACTTTAAGCACCAGCGGACAAATGACTTTGAATGCACCATCCACATGAAAAAGCCGACTTTTGCGTATAAAATACATTTTTATTCATGAAAATAATGAATTAAAAGGCATGAAACTGTTACACAAGATACCATTCTTTGATATGTGACACAAATACCTCTCAATTTTGGATTGGAGCAAAACAGAGCACCCTATTATGGATAAGATCACTCCATGCCTGTAATTATCTAGATCTTCTAACCCTAACAATAACCTTAATCTTTCCTTAACCCAAACCTAACTTGAAAATATCCCTAAAATAACCCCAATCTTACTCGAACTAACCTCTAATGTCACCCTCACTAAGTTAACCTACCACTAACCTGTCCTTAGCCTAAATCTTAATCTCTCTCAAATTTATCCTGAAACGTGCCAGATATCCAATATAATAACATAATATGCTAAGCTAAGCATATTTTATCCATGATTACAATATTATTTACTAGGCTTTACTAACTTGTTCACTGGACGTTCCAAAGTCATTGGTGTGGTCGCACTCCACTGGTATTTGCTGGTACTTAAAGTTTAACTGTGCCTATATGGGTTTGCAACTCAAGGAAAGCATCTCATCGGCAAATAAGTGCTTGTTGTATAATCAGTTGGTTCTGAATCACTTAGTTGGTAATTTCTTTTGTTCATTGTCATAAAGCAAAACAATAGTGTATTATTTACTTTTTCCATGAAAAATAACTTTGTATGACTCATTCGAATGTTTTGTTTAACATTTATTTTAAGATATTTGCAACGACAAGGCCGTTTCCTGTATTAGCCAATCACTTGCTGAAGACACAATGTGTGAACGTTTCTGATTGGCTAGTAGGGCGGCAGTTAGTCTTATTTATGCTAATGATTGTGAACCTCTGCCAAAATTTTTTTTAATATAAGAATTTTGAACTAAATTCATGCAATGAATAAGTCAGTGACATTGAATGAATGAATAATGTCACATAGATGAATCTAATTCATATCAGCAAATTATGATTTTTCTCGCCATTTTCTACTAAAATTGACCATAGACATGACGTTGTTAGTAGACAAACCATACATCATAGATGTTTCTCTACATAGATTAAGAATTATTAAAAATATGAGCAAGTAACCTGCACATTTTAAGGATATGAACCCCATTTGAGAAAATGTGAGACAACTGAAGGCTACTAGAAAGAACAGGAGTGTCTTACGTACACAAGAAAACTGTATGGATGTATTTACTATTCTGCATTATTATTCTTATGTTATAGAACTTTAAAGGGCAAAGTTCAATAGCGTCCCAAGGGATGAAAATGCACGAGTGACCTTGAGGCAACTAGTCATAAAAATGGGGAATTATTGGGTGAAAATATGGCGTATATTTACAAGAAAATGCATGGAAACACACTAAACAGGGTATCTTTCTGTGACATGACTTAAAAATACGTCCCAGTTATAATGAAGAGTATCAGTTGCTAAGTTAGACTAGTTTCTGTACTTGAATTCACCGAGGTGACTGAAGATGAGCTGTTTTTGAGAATCATTTATCTCTCTTATCCTGTTCAGAACTCTTCCCCAAAAACCCTCGGTTGAATTACTATGGTTTCAAATAAGAGGATTGACAACTACTTACCATGAAAATGTGGATAATAAAACAAATTAAAATAAATGATATCAACTTTAAATCTATCCCTAATCGCACCTCTAACCTTAATCCTAATCCTAACCGTAAATCTAACCTTAATCCTAATTATGACCCTGATCCTAACCCTAACCCCAAACGCTTACCTTAACCCTAATCCTAGCAAGCTATTAACACATTGTCCAAACAGTACTTAAAGAGGTGATATGGGTTAAATTTGCTCCTTAGTCGGTGAGTAGCGTTGATATTTCACCCATGATAATGACAGGTGCCGTTAGCCAACGACTGGCATGGGTTCAAGGTCATTGAAGCATTCACGCTCCTCGGGCGCTATTGTTGAACTTCGCCCCTTTAAGTGTTTTCTACTTTAGTGATATCAATAAATAATGATATTAATACCACACTATACTACGATGTGACAGTGGTTCATTAGTTGTGTGCTCGCCGCCAACCGCGTACGTCGTTCGGGCGCAACTCTCAGCCAACGCACTCCTAAACGTCGCCTAGTTTACTAACCAGTAGTAAGTCTTGGAAAGAGGGAAGGTTGGGTGTCGGGCTATTAACCCCACTCCGTAAAAATGACACCACATCTACTGAAATTACATAATTTAAAGCTTTATCTCCCAATTAGAACGCAAATGAATGAAAAAATATTATGATAACAATAAAAATATGAATAATATGCACAGGAGCTAAGAAGAACAAATGATGTGAGATCTAAATGAAGATATCAGTAGAGATTGGGGAAACAAGAAGGGTAACCACTGCAAGTACGACGATAATGCCTTGGGAATCTGAGCTGACTCGATGAAGAAAAGCTTCCTATAATTTTTGTGTAGCTGTACCTTGTACAGTCAAAATTGTTTTCCACATGCTAAATATATGTTACGGTATTATCGTCATTATTATTCTGGATAATATTCTCTAACTTTTCACGCATCTTTTAGATGCAAGCAAATGATAACCGAGGTTCAAAAAAGCCTGATTTGCCATAGGATTCGGGCCACTGACATTTGGATCTCCAGATCGATCAATAAAATCCAATATTTTACTGGATATCAATTCCACTTGCATTACTAATGTATTCCACTTGATTGGCAAACATGCTTTAAGAGATAAACAATCATTAGCTCAGTTTTTGAGTTCAATTCGATGAGGAAAGCTAGTTAGGCATCTAGGCTGACAATCAACAGGAAAGTATATATTACTAATTTATGCGACAACTGAGCTAAGCGACAAATGACCGCTACCGTAGCGAGGTGATGGGGTATGCATATTTCAGTACCTCAACGGGCCATGATGGCTGCGACGAACATTCCTGCAGTTCGTTTCACACCGTAGAGGTCACTTGTGTAGCAGTTATCGTCTTAGTGTAAGTGGTCTGTATGTGGCAATGTGTCTTATTGAGTTAGGCTTTCGACTGTCAGTCGACAGGTTACGCATTCGTACCCAGCTACATCCACCAAGGTTAATGCTTCCAGCTTAGTGCATTAACAAGCATATGGTTGTTACTTATACTACGATTAGGGTTCGAGGACAAAATGATACAGTCGATGGAGTGTAGGAACTTGAAGTGATGCACTTCTGTGCAAAGCTCTACGTTGATTCATCAGTAAGTCAAGCAAGAACTTTCAGAGTGAATTAGACCTCATTTGTAATAGTATTTTATGGTTCACCAGACGTAGTACTCACAACACAAAACCTAAGGATTGCTTGGTTACAGTGCTGCTACTATTCACGTCTGGGTAGCAAGAACTATTAGTTGATATGAGTAGTATTCATCATACAGAGTCACCCTTAACATGGATACATATAATGATCAGGAAAAAAGTATTGCAAATGTTTGGACATCCAAGAACTAGTGGTTAGAAATATCAACTTTCTTAGGTAGGTCAGTTAGTCAGTTATCCTTTTAAATGGTTAACCTAATAGGAAACATTCATATTTGAAGATATTTAGGTGAAAACTGAGTTTCCAGAAAACCTGAATCACTGATAACTACTAGAAACAATAATAGTAGAAATCTGTGTCACTTGCTGGAATACTTTAAGATTGACAAAATGACCCTAGAAAATTCCGATTTCGCGGATGGTCTATGTCTCATGGCCTTACAAACTCAAAGATCCACAAGAGACAACCAACAATGTGGAAGAAGAGGCGGTAAGTTTCGGACTTCAGATGAACATGAAGACGACAGATGTGATCAAAATAACCAACCAACCAACAAC